AAGGGGTTGGACTAGAAGACCTCCAAGGCCCCTTCCAACTCTGTTATTGTGTTATTCAGTTCCTGTGAATAGACCTTGCCTTAAAATGTCCCACTTTGCCTACAGTTGAGCTGCAATGGTACTCTTACATATCTATCAAAAGGTGACTGGATTTAGACTTGTTTATCTACGGACAGCCAAGACCAATGGGTCAATTGAACAAATCACCCCAGAATTCTCACTCTAAGGATCCATATCCAGCCTCAGGTTATCTGTTCTGACCCCCCTCCGTACNCTAATCCTGTAAGGAAGGCAGGAAGAAACATTCTGGTGTTGCTTCTAGCCTAATCTTTATTGCCCTGCTTACAGAAACTGCCTCTCTGGTTAAACCCTGATTACAGCTTGACGTTGAGTTGGCCATGCCCACACAATCACATGACCACCGAGCCACACCTTCCCAGCTGGTCATTAGGGCAGAGAACTGGTTGTTAAATTATTTGAATCCCAACATTGATGCACATGCCTTTTTTTTTGGCTTTTTGGGAGGGGGGTGTTTTCTGGGCCATTTTTAGGCTGTTTTTCAGGCCATTTTCAAGCCAATTTTCAGTGCGTTTTCAGGCCATTTTTGTAATGGTTTTTGCAGGTGCATGCTGGTCGTCGTGGGCACTGAAGCGCTGGAAAACGGCCCGAAAACAGCCCAGATTTGGGGCATTTTCAGGCCATTTTCCAGCGCTCTGGCACCCATGAAGCCAGCTGGCCAGCGTGCATGTGCTTGCTGGAAACCAGAAGAGCAGCTGACGATGGTCCATGTGCCCACAGAGAGGGCTCCGCGTGCCATCTCCAGCACATGTGCCATAGGTTCACCATCACGGTTATAGTTCAACTTTCTGAGCAATTTCCATCTCTGGCCACTTTCAATTGTTGTGTCAGGTTTCCTAAAAATGCCCTAATTGATTCACGAGTATCAAGCCAGGTTTCAATACAAAACTAGTCATTTATTAGGAGCACCATTAGGCAAGGCCTTTTCATAGTCAGGTCTAAGCTTTGTTTCAGTTATAGCTGAACTTTAAACCTCTTCCTCCCCTCCCCTCAGTCTGTGTCATAAGTCACATTCCCCAATGAGTTGCACCCCCTCCCAAGCCTGCTGCAGTAATCTGAGATCCACCTTTCGCCAAAAGTAGGCATGGAATGCTCTCCCTCCCTTTCTCTTGCTATGGCAACATTAGGAGTTGACATGGTGCTTGTCAGAATTTCACATTCTTGCTTGTTACTTCAAAGAAACCAGAAACAGTCATCAAACAACATCCTTGTTACTGAATATGTACAATTATTCAAAGAGACCCCGTTTCTTGTTCTCACCAAGATGGACAGATGCTATGGGAGAGAGGCAGTTGCTTAGACAAATAGGCTCCATATCATGGAGGACTTTATAGGTAATAACCAGCACCTTGAATCATACCCAGAAGCAAAGAGCAGTCTACAAATCAGAGAGCCTCCTGGTTGCTATTATTGATATTACAGCAGAGGGATGCCTAGGAATTCTTACCTTGGTGCCTTCTTGGATAAGAATCTTTCTCATATCTGAACGTGCTCTTTTTAGCTTGTCTTGGAATGAACTGGGTGATGAAACTGCCAAAGAACTCGCCATGGTTCTCCCTGGGATGATAAGGGTGAAGATTCTGGAGTGAGTACCTTAAGAATTGGAAGTTGCTTTGATTTTGTCAGGAAGGGGAATTTGATGTGATCAGTCATTTCTCTTCTGTTCTTCTTTTCTCTTTCTCTAGTCTGGACAAAAACTCTATCACAGTTTACGGTGCTTCCATGTTAGCGAGGCAGCTTTTTCGATGTCCTGGAATCCAGACAATACGGTGAGCTTTCTTGAAGTAGTAGTAAGAACTTCTCTAAACAAAATTGGATTAATAGGCAGAGTTATCAACTTTCAACCTTTTGAAGACCTTCTTAATCCTTCTGTTGTATATATAGTTTGCATGGTCTTGTAGCCCAGCTGAAGTCCGGCCAAGAATGTGAGGCGGAGACCCAATTTTGTTAGTTGAAATTCAGTAAAGTCCTTTTGGGTGCCCACCAGATGTGTGGACTTCAAGCCCCTCCTAAATTCTCCAGTCAGGGCAGCTATTGTTGAGAATCCTGAATGTTCTCAACCCAAACATCTAAAAGACAGAGGTTAAACAAGGGTGGTTTGAATGGTGATGATTAGGGATAGTGTATCCAAGATGGATCCGAAAAGTAACAACCAGCTCTGTCTGGTTCTTTTTTTTTCCAAGCAAAGTCCTCCCCCCCCCCCCGTTACATACTTAAAACTTCTTTATAAACAAAGTGTTCTCCTGGTTTCCCCCTCTTTACATCTTCTAATTATATATAGTACATTTTACATCGTTTTTTCCTTTTCAGTCATTTTACCTTCATTCCATAATCTCCCGCTTAATTTTAATCTCTTCATTTGTTTGCCTCTATATTCATTAAATTTCATTCTACTCTATCAACAAATCCTTCTCTTTCTTTCCTCCTTTTAACCATTTTCTCTTAGTCTCTCAGGAACTTCATTTCTCTTATGGTCTTTTCTCCCCGTCCGTTTACTTGGCTTTTTCTTTTTCTTGATCTTAAATTTTTTATATAATAAGCCACCTTTAGCAGATTCTTACAATGGTCATTTCAAAACCTGCAATAATAAACTATGAACAAATGCCGGCAGCAGAATCGGAAAGGATCTGGGGTTGCTGTCATGTCTGCACTCTGACTGATGGACTAGAGTTCTCAGATTTGGTAAAATGCAGGTAGAGTATTCCTCCACTTAAAACGGTTAACTTGGTGATCATTTCAGTTTAAAATGGCTGTGAAAAAAGTGACTTATGACCATTGTTGATACTTACGACCACAGCAGCCTCCCCATGATCACATCATCAACATTTGAATGCTTGGCAACTGATTCACATTTATGACGGTCCCAGTGTCCCGGGGTCACATGATCCCCTTTCACGACCTTCTGACAAGCGGAGTCAGTGAGGAAGCGAAATTCACTTAACAACCATGCGACTAACAACTGCAGTGATTCACTTAATAGCTGTGGCAGAAGAGGTCATAAAATGGGGCAAACCTCACTTAACAAAGTCCTGCTTAGCAAGATAAATTTGGGGCTCACTTGTGGTCCTAAGTTCAGAACTCTCAATAATAATAATAATAATAATNACTGCCAGTTGCCGTATATTAACATGCTCTGATGTTAAGGAGTTAGACATTCTACTCCCCCTCCCCACCTGAAAAGAACTCTATTCCAACTGCCAGTTGCCTCACATTCCGTTACCTCATTCAAACTGGCAGACGTTCCACTCCTTCACTCAGGAGCGGTCTGGGGCTCCTTACAGTACTAAACATCAGTACCTCACCAAAATGTCTATGCCTTCCACCTATGGAACTGCTTCCAGATTCAAGGTGGCGGGAAAGGTATTCCCTTTCAATAACCAACCACCACTGAGCCAAGGGATTGTGAACTGAATTTCTCCTGCATAGCCCGACCACATAGTTTTGTCGCGAAGCATGAGTATCCACCTAGTAATTATATACAGCTTGCTAAGCTCCTGTTGATTCTCCCAAAGATACTTTTTTTGGACTTTCTTTGCTTTTCCTTGAAGACGTTTTGCTTCTGAAGAAGTTTCTTAGATGAGAAGGAGAAACAAAGAAAATCCAGTTGCTTTTTTTTAAAAGCACCTTTGGGACAACCATGACCTAGATAACTGAGAATCTCCATAGACTTTCCTCCTTTGATTGGTTGATGGTGCTCCATCACTGGAGGTTTTCAAGAAAAGATTGGATACCCCCTTGTCCAAGATGGAATAAAGGCTCCTCACTTGGGCAGGGGGCTGGACTAGAAGACCACCAAGGTCCCTTCCAGCACTATGATTCTGTGATTCCTCAGGTCACCTGCTTTGGCTGACTGCATAGTTACTGCTAAGGAATAGCAAAACCAAAAATGAAAGTTTGCTCTGCTTGAAAGTTATCCAGAAACCCAAGGAAGGAGGACGTATCAAAACTACGTTGCTGGTAACCTTGATTTTGCTCCATTCCTTGGGACTGTCCATTTCATACTTACTTCCAGATTTTGTGCTAAGCATGCATCAGTTGCTCTAATAAATCAGGTCATGTTTTCCGATTCAACTGAAAGCTATGGATCCTATCAACTTAAGTAATTGAGCAAATAATCCATAATTCATTGTCATGTCTCATGCTTTTATAATTTAAGAAAATAGTGCATTACCCGTAGCACTCAAGGATTGTTAACAAATTGAAATTTTTAATAGGACAAAAGAAAAAAAATGAAATAGATAACTATATTTGAATGTCTGCAATTAATTCCATTCCTATTTGGGACTTGTACATAACCATAGGATTTTCTATGGGTTGAAATCCTGTACCAGGACTTGTTGTAAGAAAGCTGGGCTATAGGGAGCCGGCGTGGTGAGGCGGTGGTTAGAACGCAGTATTGCAGCCTAACTTTGCTGACTGCCAGGAGTTTGATCTTCACGATCAAAGGTTGACTCAGTCTTTCATGAGGTTGGTAAAACGAGAAGCCAGGCTGTTGGGGGCAATATGCTGACTCTGTAAACCACTTAGAGAGCACTGTAAAACAGTGCAGTATATAAGTGCTATTGTTAATGTTTACCATTCTAAAGACAGACACTTTCTACAGCCCTTCTTGAAACAGTGCTGACCACTAGGCCTGCAGAGCTTCTAAAGTTAATACACGCTATATCAGGGATGTCCTTCATGGCTAGCTGGGGAATTTGGGGAGTTGAGGTCCACTGGTCTTAAAATTGTCAAGGCTGTATATATAGTTGCTGTATATAGTCACTAAGGGCCTATGAGTTTAATCAGATGACCTGAGTCTCCATAGAAAAACCCATGCTGGTTGGGGAATTCTGGAATTTGAAGTCCACCTATTTTCAAGCCACCAAGGCTGAAAAACACTGTCCTAACTGACCTCTTTTCATCCTGGAAATTGTTTCTAGTTTTTCCTGCAACAGCATCACTTCGGCTGGAGGACAATGGATTGTAGAAGGTCTGATTGAGAGCGAGAGGCTGGAAATACTCAAGTAAATCACCCTTCGTTAATCTGGATTCACACCCCCACCCCCACCCTGCTTGTCTCTTTAAAGCATTCTTTTTCCCACTTATACTTAACAAAGTACAAACATTTCTTGACAACAGGATGTCTGTTGTATCTCTAAGAAGCTATTAATCATCGTTTCTCCAGTCCATGAGTGAGTGACAGCCTTACACTGTCCTTTAGTTTGGCCGCTGTTTATGTAGTTCTTAGCCCATCATTTTTATTCTGACACAACACAAGTCACAAGATATCAGAAGGAGCCTGCTAACACCTTTCCTTGTAATGCACAAAAGCTGATGGCTTTTAGTAACATGTGTTACTGGTAGTCCTCAAGTTACAATCACAATGAACCCCAGATTTTTGTTGCTCACTGAGATACTTGTTAAGTGAGTTTTGCTCCATTTTACGACCTTTCTTCCCACAGTTTTTAAGTGAATCACTTCAGTTGTTAAATTAGCAACATGGTTGTTAAGTGAATCTGCTTCCCCATTGATTTTGCTAGTCAGAACGTTGCAAAAGGGGATCGCGTGAGCCCGGGACACTGCAACCATCATAAATATGAGTCCCTTGCCAGGCATCTGAATTTTGACCACATGACCATGGGGATGTTGCAATGGTCACAAGTGTGGAAAAACGGTCATAAGTCAATTTTTTTCAGTGCTGTTGTAACTTTGAACAGTCAAAGTTACAGTTTGTTCAACTTTGAACAAACTGTTTGTAAGCAGGGGTGGGATTGAAAATTTTTAGCAACTGGTTCTCTGCCCAGTTGCTGGGTGGGCGTGGGCATGGGTATGGCCTCCTAGGCCTCCTACACGACCGCGGGTGAGGGTGTGTTTTTTCGACCTCCCCAGGCTCCAGATGCTTTTATCGAGCCTCCAGGAGGGCGAAAACGGCCTCCCCCAAGATCTGGAGACCAGAAATGGGCCCGTTTCGAGACCCGTTTTTCACCTTCCCCAGAGCCTCCGTGCGGGCCCTGAACTTACCTGGCATCCAAAACTGGCCGCATGGAGATTCCTGGGAGGGGAAGGTGGGTGGGGCGAGCCAGTCCTTGCAACTACTGGTTCAGCAAACCAGATGTTAAAATTAGCATCCAGTTCAACAAACTGATCTGATCCGGCTGAATCCCACCCTTGATTGTAAGATGGGGACTACTTATAGTTGGAAAAGGAGGTCTGTCCCCATTTTCCTGTCCTTCCGTAAGGCTGGTTCTGCCAGTTGGCCTGGGTGTCCATCAATGGGCATAGCTATTAGAATGATTGCATCCTGCTTCCCCCCGCCCCCCGCACATCTTTTAATTCATACTGCTGTACCTTCGCTATTTATTTTCATTGTTTCATTGTTTTATTATTGTTATATTTGCATTTTTAATAATGGTATGTTCTTCTCCTGTGGTAAGCCTCCCAGAGTAGCCCCCTCCTTTTGTAGCATGGCTGAATGTAGAGTTCCTTCATAGCAGATCAGGAAGAAGTGGTTAAGTGATGTTAATTCTTCTTTGAATCCATGAGAGTTCACACATCCACTCCCCTTCCTTCTCCTAGATTATCTGGGAACAGTATTGGAAATAAGACTTTGGGAAAACTTGCTCCAATTTTGCCTTACAAGAAGCATTTGAAAGTCCTCCAGTAAGTACCCAGGATAAGAATATTGCATCTGTAAATTAGTTCCACCTTGTACTACATTGGGAAGGAAATAAAGTTCTGACCAGTTATGGAGAACCAGTAGGGGAAATTTTGAGTAGTTTGGAGAACTGGCAAATACCACTTCTGGGTGGCTCTGCCCCAATCTATTCGCTGCCTCCCAGCAGATTGGCTGGGTCTTCTTCTGTTGCCCTGCACAAGAGAATGGAGCTGAAAAGCAGGTTAGTGGGGTGGGAATGGGGATTTTACAGTATCCTTGCCCTGGAGTGGGGTGGGGAGGGAATGGGGATTTTGCAGTATCCTTCCCCTGCCATGCCCACCAAGCCACACCCACGAAGCCATGCCACACCCATAGAACCGGTAGTAAAAGATTTAGAATCCCACCACTGGAAGGAAACACTTGAAACGATGTAGCACTCAAGGGGCAAAAGGTGTTAGTGGCATCAAATAAACCTTCTGTGGCTCCCTTGCTCTCTAACTCAGGCTTAACAGAGAGAAAAGAGAGAAAAATTGCTTTATCCTTGTCCTGCCAGGGGTCAGGACAGTGATCATTTGCCCAGGCAATTGGTTCTTTTGGATCCGCAGACAATAAGCACTAAATAAATTGATTTCAAGCCTTTCATTATAAGCTCAAGCCTAACATAAAAAGCATATTTACCAAGCAAGGTGACATCCAAATCTCTTACATGCTACCAGGAACTCCTTGTCCTGGTTTTGTATCACTGCTTTGGGCCCCTAATCAGTGTGGCAAATTTGCGAAAAATATGCAATGCGATGCATTTTTCTTTTTCCCACGTAAATGTCCCCTGGTGTCTCTACAGCCTCTCTCGTTGTCAGTTGGGTTCTGAAGGACTCGGCCACTTGGCGGGAATCTTGGCCAAGTGTCCACAGATGGAAGAAATCAAGTAAGTGACACAGGAGGCCCAGCCACCAAGAGTTTTGAAAACTTTTCCTCATTGTAAATGATGGAGAAAATTCTTCCCAAAGCATTGCAAGTAGTCCTCAATTGAGTGGCCATTTGGAACTCTGCCAGACCTGCTTTATGAACTAGATTTGACGTTCTGGCAATTGTACTCCCCAGTGGTCATGTGACTGCCCTTCAGCCACTCAGCAACAGGGCTGTGTTTATGGCTGTTTATTTCCAGTTTCTGGCAAAACTGGACCATAACCAATTCAGAGGTTCTCTTAATGACCATAGCAGTCACTTAACGACATCCACAAAAAGGTAAAATCGGGTCAGTCATATGACCAACCTGCTTTATGTCCATCATGCATTACAATGGTAATGGGCAAGCTCCATTATGGTTGTAACTTGAGGGTTGCCTGTAACAAGCTCTGTTTGTCTATTTTGCATGGAATTGTTGTATGATTCTCTTTCTTCGTCTTCTCAGCTTGTCAGAAAACAACATTGGAGATAAAGGTGTGATGTCCCTTATGACACCATGGCCACAATCTTCACAACTGAGGAAGATTGAGTAAGTTTTCCATTTCAGGCAAGGGAAGAATTAGTGGCAGGATACAATCTTCATTTTAAGTCGTAATGATTTAATGAGTTAAATGGTTTAATAATTTGATTGGTTTGGATTCAGTGTAACAGACAGGGACAAGTTAGTTGTGATTTCCAAGTGAAGCGTTGTGCCTTAATGGACTGCGTGAACCCAGCTCATTGTAGCTTGCTCAACAAACCATGACTATACATGGTTAAACTGTGGTCAAGCCATGCAGGCTTGACACTAACATTATCCATATTATAGGGAGCATAAATCAATGTGGCTTAAGAAGACTATGGTAGCAGACTACCACAGCTTCAGCCTCAGGATGTATAATTTTAATAGGCTGTTTTATTGCAGTGATTTGGACCTACCCCAACTATTGGCTCTAATTCTTGGCCCCACCAGTTAGGAAGGATTCAGACAAACTGGGTTGAGATATAGAGAAAGACAGAGAGGATAAGGATAGAGTGGAAACCATGTCCTCAAATTTTTGACCTGAAGACAGATAGAATATCATTCTTTAGCTTCATTTGTTGTGTGGATGGGTGTTTGTGTGTATATATGTGTGTGTGCTGAGTGAGTTTTGGTTTCTGACAGCTGCCTGAATGAATCCCTGAGCAATTTTCTTGGCAATATTTTTTTCAGAAATGGTTTGTCATTGCCTTCTTCCTAGGGTTGAGAGATAGTGGCTGGCCCAAGGTCACCCAGCTGGTTTTGTGCCTAAAATAGGACTAAAACTCATAGGCCCCCAGTTTCCAATCTGTTGTGCATTTAACCACTTTACCAAACTGGTTCTCTTTGTTAGTGAACTGTCCTAAAGGTGCTTTTTCAAAAGGCAACTGCGCTTTCTTGTTTTTTTTCCTTGAAAGCCAAGTTCTTCAGAACTGAAGAAACCTCTTGGATGAGAAACGAAATGTTTTCAAGGAAAAAACCCTAAGAAAATCAGTTTCCTTTTGAAAAAGTACCTTTGGATCAACTATAACCTGGAGGATTAAGAATCTCCATAGACAGTGAACTGTGTTAATTACAGACACTCAAACAGTATGTTAAACTTTGGTTAAAACTTGTTTTTTTTTCTCTGTGTGTTTTAATGCGGTGATTAGGACCAACTCTGTTAATCTGTCTGTTAAGTAACAGAGAATATAGCTCATGGTTCAATATATCAGGTCAATCCAAGGAAAAAAATCAGTTCAGTAAGCAAATGAAGTACGCACTATGCAAACATAGGCACAAAATACAGATACTGATCGTTTTCTCCTTTTCTAAAATTTTAGTCTAAAGGCCTGTCATATCAGAGATTGTGCTTCCAAAACACTAATTGTCGGACTCAGCTGCTGTCCTTCCCTTGAAGAGATCGGGTGAGATTGCATCATCATCATCATCATTATTATTATTATTGCGTGGTTAATCTTTGGTGAGATTCACAGCCTTTGGGGCTGGTTGGTAGCTCAACAGCTTGAGTCTTAACCTAGGAATTGTTAAGGTAACGTCGGAGGATATAAGCTGTTCCAAGTAGGGTGGTTTTTTGTAGCATCAGAATGTTCAAGTCTGAT